CTAAAAGAAAATTAAATTTTATTTATATTACCGTGCAGAAATTATGTACAGTTCTTTAGCAAAAATGTAATACGATGTGCTATCTTATGATTAATGATAATACGAACAGACACAAAAACACTAAAACTATAATAATTAAAAAAAGGGAATATATGTAATTATGTACCGTATATGGAGCTAATAAAGACAAGCTTCCAATTACTTAGTAAATATTACGTTCCATTATCATCTATATAGAAAGTATGTATCATTATTATTATTAGACAAATATTTGCTAGTAATTATAAAGAATTAAAGGCTGGAGGTAATAAAAATCCACATGACGGTGCAGGTAACCTATAAAGATGGCTAATGGCCACGTCACTGAGATAAACATCGCACGAACATCAGAATTACAACAGGCACCAAGTATGAATGGACTCACAAGTATACCGCTTCCATTTCTCAAAATCCCACCTTGCTCATGAGACATACCATATAGGTAATTTATTTCTCAAGATAATAATTAAAAATACCAAAAGAATATAAAAAGAAAAAAATACAACATAATATATTATCTATAAATTATGAAATTAGTAATATAAATGAATGATATTAATGAAAAATTAGTATGCATATATAATATTTATATTACCAATAATAAATAAAATAATAATTGAATATCACTTTAAAAATGTGTACAATAGGCAGGATCATTATTTTGCTGTTCTAATAGAAGTTTTTTATACATATATCTAAATGATGTTACTGTTTTCAGGTCTGTGATGGGTGGTGGGATATTGTTCTAACATTGGGTAGCTGCATACTTGAAAAAACCCATAAATGCGGCTGTTCTGTGCTTGGCAATTGATAAGGGCCTGGTAGAATAACGAAAAATTCTTTACTGTGTCCTAGTCTTCCTCCACTCTAATTTGTTATATAGGTATTTAGGTTTTTTTGTAGCAATAACTCCAAACAATAAACAAGACAGGTGTAACTTTCTTCTTGCTGCCATCTTAAGGACATTGTTGTTATTTAAAATGGGGTAATGTGGCTTCTCCTAGGAATTTGATAACAATAGCGAGCACAAGTATTTGGTATACGTTGTATTAACTGTTCTGTCCTCGATAGTAGACATGGGCCATACACTGTATCACAGTAATTAAGTCTAGAAAGTATTTTTTTAACTTGATGGTGACTTTCAAGTACCATGAACTTCCTTTTTAATTGGGTTAAGAACAAGGAAATTACACTCAGACCAAGTTATCATTCTTTCAAGATCACTATTAATGTCTGCTACTGCTTTACTTATTTCCTTTATGCCAAAGGATATATACAGTTATATGTCATCTGCTTATGTGAAATTTATTATGCTTTATACAGTTGACAGTATCTGAACTAGACAGTATAAATAATAAAGGTCCCAATATTGATCCTTGAGGTACTCCTCTTCCAGGGACAGAAAAGTTCGATGTAGCAGATGTGCCATCACTTTTGTATATTTTCACCTGTTGCTTTCTCTCGGTTAAATAGATATCGAACCATAAAACCGTAATAGGCCAACTTGGATAAGAACAGTGATGTGTAAATAGCATCAAATGCCCGAGAGTAATCCAATAGCACAAGTTTTGACCCTTTGCCCTAATCACGAGCCTCAGTTAAATTTCCCACTACATCACATAATGCTGTGGCAGTACCATGCCCTTTCCTACGGTTCCATGAACATATTTTGTGTAAAATTAGGATATGTTTTGCATCACTTAGATCACTTTTTAAAATTAGAAATTTCATTGATGAAAAATTACGTTTACAGTTATATAATACTTTAGTCTTATCAAAATTGTGCTACTGTGATATTGTATATGGTCCTTGTCTATTCCAAAAAACTATAATAGCTATACAACGGGTTCTGAATGCTTGCATGCGTTATTGTTGCTCGATACCAAAACGACACCATGCATTACATATGAATGAGAGGGGTTTGTTAAAAATGGATAACAGGAGACGCTTGAGACTGGCTTGCTTTTTGCATTCATTATTAAAATTCAAAGCACTATTTATATAATAAATTCAAAACACACTCTTGTGCAAACTCGTGGCAGTTTTAAGTTTGCTGCGTCTAAATGTTGGAATGACTAGCCCCCTCCACTTCGTAACATCTACTCCTTAAGTGCCTTCAAAATAAAATGTCGAAAATGGCTTTTGATGCAGCAGTTATTGGCTTCGAGTACCCAGTCTTTTAAATATAATAGTTAATAGTTATTAAATGGATAGTTATATTAATATAAATAGTTAATGTAAAATATTTTAGTACCTATTATAAGCGTGTTCTTTATGTAAATTATGTCTGGCTAGGACAGAATATCAAAGTTGGTGTACAGTGCTACAACTTTGAGTCCTTGACCATTTTGTCTAAATAATTGTCATTTTTTTTCTATTTATGTTACTCTTTAAATATTTTGTGCAGTGTATATATATTTAGACAAAAAAACGATTATTATTATGGGGGGATATTCATTTGTTTTCTCGTCTGGTTGGGTTTATAAATAAAAATAAAAATATAGATATATATTGCATATATAAAATAAATATTATGGATAAAAATAAACATATAGATAAAAATATTGTATATAATACATATATAAATAGGACCCAACCAGACGGAAGCCCTCGGCAGGGGAGACCAAACGGCCGAGGGTTAGGGGTGAAAGGGAGAGAAACCGGCGGACGATGCGGGCGGTATCGAGTAGCACCGCTTTCTGCATTAGAGCTTGGAGCGCTCCGTCCCGGAGTCCCGGTCGCCTCAGATGTCCGGAGAGGCTGACTGGGATCAACCCATTGGCAGACACGACTATCGGGATAATTTCGGTCGGCACACCACCCCACATGTCGGTCACCTCGTGAGCCAGGTCCAGATACTTCGTCTTCTTATCTGTTTCGGCTTTCACGAGGTTCTCGTCATATGGAATGGTAATGTCGACCAAAAATACCCGCGACTGTGCCCGGTCCATCAACACGATATCAGGTTTGTTCGCGACAATCGTCCTGTCCGTGATGATGGACCGGTCCCAATAGAGCCTGGCGCGGTCATTTTCGAGCACGGCCTCCGGAGAGTACTTATAGTACGGCAGTTTCCGTTCCACGAGGCCGTATTTCAGAGCGAGCTCCTGGTGTAGGATTTTGGCTACTGGTTGTGTCTATGCAGATACTCAGAGTTAGAAAGCATGGATCAACCGGAGATAACATGCCGAAGCGACTCCCCGGGATGGCGACAAGCTCGACAGATGTCGACGGTGCCATCATTTAGGATGTATCTCCGATAGTTGTTCGTCTTAATAACCTGATCCTGTATCGCACAGACAAAACCTTCGGTTTCCCCAAAGAGGTCACCGAAACGTAGCCAGTTAAGGGAGGCAACAGTATCTACGAAAGGCTCGTGTAGAGCCTTGTAGAACCTCCCGTGGAGCTCTTTCTCCTTCCATACGGCCTCTCGGTCGGAAACGCTCAGTACTCCCGGGTCCTGCCATTGCTCGTTGGCTAAGGATAGAGGGGTAAGTCCTTTATCACAACTAATGACGTCCGTGTAGATTGACTCATCCGATCTCGCCAGAAAGTAGTTACGGAGGCTGCACACCTCGCGATTGTGCATAGTGAGGGCGCTTAAAAAGTCCCTCCCGCCATGCTTCCGCGGCAGGTACAGCCTCATCACTGACGATCTCGGATGATGCATTCTGTGGGACGTCATAGTTGTGCGGACCTTTCGGTCCAGGGCGTTGAGCTCTGTTTGAGTCCACCTGAGTATACCAAAGGTATACATGAGGACTGGCATGACCCAGCCGTTAAAAGCGCGTGCCTTGTTCACGCCTGACAAATGCCTATTAAACACCTTTGTCAGGCGTGCAAAAAACACGTCACGAACTGACTGTTTCATGCCAGCCTCATCGATACACATATTTTGTGACATACCCAGGTATCGGTATGTTTCAGCCTCAGAGAGGGTCCTTATGTTAACGGGCATAGATAAATCTATGCCCTCCGTGTTAGCGACCTTACCCCTTTCGACATGGAGGACCGCACACTTATCCGTCCCAAGCTCCATTTTGATAGAATTGCTGAAATCACAAATGACTTTAAGCAATTCCATCAAATGGGAGCGATTGGAGGCGAATAATTTGAGGTCATCCATGTAGAAAAGGTGGGCCACTTTTGTCCCTCCTCTCCGAAGCTGAAATCCTCCCCCCGAACGCTCTAGTAACACACTGAGAGGATTCAGGGAGAGGCAAAACCATATTGGACTCAAACAGTCACCCTGGAAAATACCCCGTCGTACCCTTATCCGGTATTCCGCAGCCGTCATCCGCTCGCCTAGATGACAAAGGATCGTACTCCATTGCCTCATACAGTGCCCGAGGAAGTCTCTTACTGTACAGTCTACTTTGTACAGTTCGAGGACCCTCTTTAGCCATGTATGGGGCACCGAGTCGAATGCCTTTTTGTAGTCTATTTATTATTATTATTATTTAACCCCAGTGAAATGTCGTAGTAGTGAGTTTTATCGTATCGGATTTCTTACCTACAAAGATACATTTGAGTTTTTTTAAGAGTGTCAGTTTATCTCATTCTATCCCGTCAAACATTTAAAGAAGTGAGTATTTAAAAAATCTTTCTCTTTCGCACCTATTTACTTTAAAATTTTGCCTAGGCCAAATCGAGGCCATTTATACGCAAGATAACAATATATTTGTATTTCTCCATTAAAAGAAATTTAGTCGAAATATTAGTAGAATTAATAGCACGTAACCAAATTTCTGAAGGGATAAGAAGTTACATTCGAGTGATGTCAGAAATTATGCCGAATTAATATTTACTGTGTTAATATAGGACAAAAGGCGAATGTTCGACTACTACTGTAGTAGTAGTGTAGTATGAGGAGCATTCAAGTGCAAAAATGCTTTATTCAACATTCTACACCGGTTTGCGGTCCCCTTAAGTTCACTCCGCCGAGTGTGTTGACAGCAACAATGTATAAAATTTTATCCAGTTTAACAATAACATGGTGTTTGTTGCATTTTTGCGAGCCATATAAGTTGTTAATAGTGTTTCCTATTCCCGGAAAAAGTCATTCGATTCTTGGGAATGCTTTTGTGAATCACCTTTTGAATTCGGGACATCAGGTAAGATTGTTAAGACGTGTTGTTTTTTTGACGTGTATGTTATTTTTATAGTAACTTTTACAATATGTTGTATTTGCGTAAATAATAAATATCATTGTCATAATTACGTAATTTAAGGCAATAACCCATTCTTATTTTGTATATTTCGTCATTAGATAATTTACATGTTTAAATCAATATTTCATCAATCAATCACTATTTATTTAGGACCAGTAAACTAAAAAAAACCTAGTAAATTTTTCCACTAAGTTTGATGCCCTCCATTATTTTTAAAGCAGTAAGAATTCGTTGAGCAAAGTTAAAATATTTAGAACATTGTATACTTAGAACATTAGAACATTGGAAATAATTTGTTATGCAGAGATAGCATTAAGTTATAGCATTAAGTTTGAGATACGGATACGAGAAGATGGTGGTAGGTGGATAAAAAAATAATAATATGGGATGGAATATTATCGAGGAGAATAATTATAGTGATTTTGATGTCTTTTTCGAATGAATTGGAAGATAATGATATGCGTGAGCCTTACGTCGGTTGATTGGATGTGAATTTTTAGTACGTATTTAGGCTTACAGTCAAGATAAACAGTTAATTTCCAGTTCCAAAATATTAAGTTAAATTGTTACAATCTTCTTAGGTAAGTTTATTTAATAGTTGTTTATTGATAACTGACTGTTGCCTCTTAATATTTTTAAATATATATCTTTTTATAATAATTATATTGGAGCAGTACGACGTAAGTGGAACGGGATACCTAAGATAAAAGGAGGGCAAAGAACATAAAAACATAAAGATAATTCTAAATTGTACATTATTTATTGTACGTTCTTACAATTGTTTATTTAATTCGCTGTCTACTTGAACTTTGTTGTTAAAAAATTAAAAGTAAGAAAATATGTAATTGAATGGAACTTTTATACATTACCTGTTGTTTTTAAGTCAGTCTGTATTTAATTTCAAGTATCATAAATAAGTTATTTGCAACAAAGTAAAATAACAGATTACATGTGTAGCGTCTATTAGGGCATAGTCCGCCAGGCGAGCCAATTACAGAATGTGCTGATTTCAATTAAATTCGGATTTTTATGATTAATACTGAAATATGTTGATTTACTTAGCCGCCAATAAAGTAGTAAATCAGAGTTTATACAGTAAATCAGAGTGTATAAGACATGCTTAAAAATTTCCCACTCCGCCAGGCCTCCTTTGTACAGAGGGTTTTAGGGCGTAGCCCACGACGGATCGGTGGATTTTATACAGGGAGGCTTTTCTAAGTGTATCCATTTTTTTAATTAAATTCTAGACATACATAATGCTATATAAAATGATAAATATTTAACATCACTCGTAATTACATTCATTTTATTAACTTATCTCAAAAACTGCGTGATTTATGGGCAAGTAATAAATAACTAACACGCACCCAAGTTCATTTCAAAACTATACGACGAATTTATGAATGGCAACCGCATTATCAACATGTTTTGTTTTTTAGGGAATAGATGGAATTTTTTTGAAAAAAGTTTGTTTTTATTTCAATAAGCGATTATACTATCGAGTCTGAACCTCCTGTGTGAGTTTGGGCACCTTTAGAAAAGTCACCTTGTATATCTTTGAAATATTTTTATGTATGTTTATTTATAAAACTAGCTGACCCGGGAAACGTTATTTTGCCATATAATTTTTTTGTAGGGTAGAAAAAAATGTTTGTGGTGGACCACCCTTAACATTTAGGGGGATGAAACATAGATGTTGTTTGATTCTCCACCGTGGCCAATATGCACACAAAATTTCACGAAAATTGGTCGAGCCGTTTCGGAGAAGATCAATTACAAGCACCGTGACACGATAATTTTATATTTTAGATATGCAAGTGTCATGATTTTGACCTTCACCGTGTAGCGTGCAGTAAGTTTGCACCTAAAATTTCAATTTACAATGCATATCAGTACCGAGATTTAAGTCGCGTATATCTTTAGTAATACTATAAACGCGAAATAATATTTAATATTATGAAAGTTTATGTATGGATGTATGTTAGTTACTCTTTCATGCAAAACCTTCTGAATGGATTTTAAATGAAATCTTGCAATAATATAGCTTATACATCAGAATAATACATAGGCTATAATTTATAAAGATATTGTGGGAATTTTCCGAAATATTGCGATATAAGTGTCAAGTAAGTAGGAAAAAATTCTGCCATCTGCGAGCTATTCTGGTGTGCGCTGCAAAAACCGTTAGAGTTTCAAGTGTATATATCGTCAGTTGAAATATCAATTAATGTAACCGCCAAAAGGCGACTTTACAGGAGAGGCAAAAAACTAAATTACGATTCACAAAAATAGTTGTAACTTTTTGCATACTTATCCTATCGCAACGCGGTTTGGAGCATTTTTTTCAAAATTCTCACATCTGATCTCTGAAAGAAACCATAAGAAGCCTACTATTATAATTTAGAAGATGGCACGGTGGTTACGTTAATTTTATTTTTTAAATATCGCGTTACGTTAAGATTTTTTGTAATAAATAATAACAGCTATAATGTAACTCACAGAGTTTTCAAGACGTCGACATAAGTTGTGATGTATTGGCTGAAGACGTTACGTACTTAATCTCTTAAAATATGGGCAAGGTTAGAATAAATGCTATATTTTTATTAATTTAATTTAAAAAATCTTTTTGATGAATACCAACAATTTTCAAGTTTTTCATTATAAATTTTACATCCATCTCATTTAAATAGGTTTTCTTAATTATCCTTGTTTTAACTCCCCGTTTTTCCATCGTACTCTCGCCAGGTGTAGTAACAGAATCCATTTTGAGTTTTGGGTTCATAACAGAGTCAAATTATAAACTGCACACTTTCTTGAGTATTAAAGCAGCATACTCTAGCCATGTGGGGGTATTAACGACTGTCTGTAGATCAAAATTAGCTATCACAGGGGAGTTGTCCTTATCTACCATGCTATAAATGAAGTGAAATATATTCTGATGTATTTCACTTCGTTTATAACATGATTTTTGTAATCATGGGTCTCCTTTTCATTCATACCTGCATAGGAAAATTACGGAAAAGACGTTCACTCAGATAGTCATGTGAATTGTCGTCGCAATATTATACGTACAGACGGCAGAGTTTAGTCACACTTAAAATATTGAGATAAATATGATAGTACTGGCAAATCTTCTATGTATTTTGTAGCAAAATTGTTGATATTTTCATTGTATTTATTGTCAGCATGATGAGTTCGCTATTACATTTTTACAAGATTGACTCTTACATTACCGACTTTGTTTCACATTGGGCCAAATTCATCGTTACATTAACCCATACTTTGATCATTCTCATAAAATGTATTATACATCACAAAAATGTATGAAAATTATTAAAAACAGTCGGATTTTTTTTAAAGTAATCGCCATTATTTTCATCACATCGAGATTTTAAAGATACCAATCGATGGAGCGAAAAATTTACAGACGAACTGTATATTTAACTCAATTTCGTCATTTTGGCGGTTACATTAATTGATATTACAACTGACGATATGTAATGGAAATGTTTATATTAAACAGTCCTAAAAATCCCGCGAAAGCATATATGATCTCATAATGTTTAAGTCATTATCGCCAATTGATAACTTACTTTTATTGCACATTTGATATTAAGAAATTGATTCTATATGATCTATCTATATTATAAAAAGAGTAAAATCTTTGTCTGTACATTGGATATATGGCGGGATCCATTTTCAGTTTCTTAATATAACTACTCTACTAGCGCACATAATTGAAGTTGACATCGTCGCTGAGTGTGACTCATGCGAAATTGTGTTTATTTCGCGAATACCACAACTTGATCACCCCATGGCGCAATTGGCAAGGCATCTTCATCATGGGATCGTCCCACACGGGACAACGATTTGTGTGACCCACAGTAATTGTTTCGTTAATTTGTTCAGTAATCGGACCTGGGTGTTTGTACACGTGAAAACGTAATCTTATCCTACAAGTAAAGGCAATGTTTTTCATATATAAATACAATGTTTTAATACATAAATAAACAAAAAATAAAGACTCATTCCCAACAATGTCCCATTCCAATTCAAGCGCACACATGTTCCAGCAGATACTGGCTTCGCGATGATAAAGGCCCATTTACACGATGCCATTTTCTTGTACATACAAGAGCAATAATTGAATGCAATAAATTGCGCGCAATAATTGGTTAGACCATTTGTTGTTTAGACCATACAACTCATTTATTGCTTCAATTTAATTGTATACAACAGGCAAGAAACTGGCACCATGTAAATGGGCCTTAAGTCTCAGGGACAGAACCTACGCCATTGTACGTGGCGTATTCGCGGGTCATTAATACGGATAATTTATACATATTAGTCCCAGAAGGAATCCAAAACTATGAATGTGGTATATAAAGTGATATTTTAATGAACATATTTGTCTTTATCTGTCTGAATTTTACGCTTTCATCCTATTTCTGAGAGCCGTGATTGCTCAGTGTCGGGGCGCTCGCCTTTATTTCAATATACTCGAGCAACTTGAGTTCGATCCCGGTGCCGGCCGGTGCCGGTACCAATGAAATTGTTAATTTTAATTATTACGTGCTCAGCGGTGAAATAAAACATCTTGAGGAAACCTGCATATGTTCGAAATAATAATAAAAAAAAAATATTTCGAAGTGAGGCTGCGTGGACTATGCCCTAAGTACCCTCTGTACAGAGGAGGCCTTTTCCCAGCAGTGGGACATGTATAGGCTGGCACTACTTTTTTTACTGAGTCTTATTTCACGCGGACGTAGCCGAGGGAAACAGCTAATGGAATTATAAGCGAGCTCCTGGGCACTGAGAGAACAATTAATAAATCTACACGTGATAAAACAACACATTGCAATTGATAATATCACTGGTGCCTCAGAATTCGAAATTGCCCGAGTAAATTTTTTTCGTTAGGTAATTCAATATGAGCTCCCGGACACTGTGTTTCACGGCAATGTTATCTATCATCCTTACTAATACTATAAAGGCGAAAGTTTGTATGTAGGGATGGATGTTTGTTATTCTATCACGTAAATACTACTGAATGAATTTTAATGAAAATTTACAATAATATAGCTTATAAATCAGAATAAGACAAAGGCTATAATTTATATGCATATTTAATGTATATCTGTTTTTCTGTCTGAATGTTACGCCTTCGGCCTATTACCCTACGCAGACGTAGTCGCGGGCAGCAGCTAGTGTATGATAAATTAATTTTACAGTTACGATTTTTAAATTTCAGGTTTCATATATAACACCGATTCCCATGACACCACGCCCAGGACTGCGGCAAATCAATGTTGAATCTAACTTCAATTATTTCGTTTCGGGTAACACATTTCTATTATTATTTTGAGTTTTTAATTAACACGTTTTTATTTTTATTATCATTTATTTTGTTTATCACTTCGAGACGTTATTATTTGTAGTGACAAGTTTTCTTGTTTTAACCGCTTAGGTGAAAGAGATGAGAGCAATACATATTGTTATTATTTTATTGACGTTAGGTTACTTTACAAAAATGTATCAACTTAATTAAATACGAAAAATCAAATATGTAAAAGTATAAATTATTCTTCTATATAAAGGATTCTAAATTAAATCAGAAGTTGCTATCTATAATCTAACAATATCTCTAAGTACTTTAGTGATTAAACGAGCAAATGATAAAAAAAACTTTTTGATGAAGAATTTATTTCCGCGTTAGCTTTTTTACTACCTACTATATAACAATATAACCTGAGTATTCAAAATAGTGTTACCGTCCCCGGAGAAAACACCTTAATCGGGTAACTGTCAATAGGGTGAACAGATAGACCTTGCAGCATTTGGGTGATTTTGTTTACCCAAATATAGTTAGATGAATTCGAGCAGATTGAAAGCGCTTAAGTAATAGCGTTATCAATAAAATGATATTTAAATAAGTCGTTGAGCTTAGTAGTTAAAGCATCTGGGCGCGAATCTAGAAAACTTGGGTTCGATTCCTTCAGTGGCGAAAAACTTTTCGTTCATTTTTTCTACAGATTTAAAGGTTTCACACTATAGAAGTGAGAGTTTAGCACTATAAAATTTTTAATTTCAAAAGAATCCATGCACTGAATTTATTTAGCTTTATTTTGATAATTTTGGAAGATAGTATCTTGTGTGTGTAACAATAAATGAAATAAGTCAGATTGATCGTGCTATCGGGACGGACACAGGAAGTTAAATTACATTATTTTTTACGTCTACGGTATGCTTTTTGTATTTAAAGTTCCCAAGTACAAGGGGTATCTTTAGAGAGATAGCCTTGTCGCAAAATAATAATAAAGTTTTTTAGAATTTCCCAATAATTTTCGACCGGTTGATACTTTTGATGACGCATATTAATGTGATAAGTCAAATTTAGAAGATTTGGAAATATTTAGGTGCATATTATGGAACGATTCGTGACTGCAGACAATAGCATCTGCACCTAATATCGGGACAGAAAGCATATGGATGTTTACGTTACGCTTTGTTGATCGCAAAATAAAATCGTGACTGTAGTAAGGTTATATTTGATTTGTAAGAAGATACGTAAATTTCCACATGCATGATACGTGTGACATCGCTAAAATGAAGGAAATATCGCCTACGGAGCGTCGAAATTCGTTTCACGGACTGTCACATCGGTGGCCGTCACCTGTAATTGGTTATCGATTGAGTGTTGAGAACCGTCCTGGAACGCAGGTGCACCATGTGGAGGAACTACGATGTATTGTAGTTGTTTTAGCGTTAATTTTTATTTTTATTACTAGTCTCTACACCCAAGACGAAACTTTAATTTGTGAATTTTTGTAAACAAATGAACAAAAATCTATATATATGATTTATGGGAGATTTTGATAGTACGATAAAGAAATTAAACATTGACTTATATGTTTTGTGATATAACATTTCAGACGAAGAACTCAACATTCAGAAGTTAATGACGAAAGAAATAGATATGAAAGACATGACAACGCTGTTTACATTGATGTTCAAAATATCCAATGCAACAGTTCTCCATGAAAATGTACAAATGTTGCTTCACGATAACTCAGAAAAGTTTGACGCTGTAATCGCTGAGTGGATGTATAGTGAACTGTATTCAGGGTAAATATGACTTTAATAATAATTGACTCTCTAACAAGATGTCGATAAATTTACTTAGTTGCTTAAATAACTAAATAAACAATTAATTTTTATTTGTTTTTGATTTTCCACTGGAAACATATAGGACACATATTTTGTTCTGAATTTTTGGATGTGTAAATTTGTTTGTTGTGTGTGTTCTTTAATTTATATTTTTATCGTTCTCAGTGTCTTCTCGTTGTCTCTTCAAAATCATACAAATTGCTCAGTTCGTAAATTTTGAAGCAACATGGGTTTAATTTAGAAAATTTAATATTTTACACTCATTTTAAACCACTTACTCTAAGATTTGTTGATTTTTTTGACAAAATAATTCTAGTGTTTTTGAATACGGGCCTTTCACGTGCATTGTAAATATTGTTTTACGGAGTTAAATGACATACGGTTTAAATTAATTTAGTTTGTTGACAGTATTGCAACGGAACACAGTAAAATGTCCAATAGTCAGTAATAAGTACAGCGCTACTTGTTTTTTCTGATTTTCTTAAGTTATCATTTTAATTCTGATAGATTTTATTTGGAAACCATGTCTGACAACATACATTCAGTTCAGTAAAATTTTATGTCTCCACAATTTATGACAACTACTTATGATAACTTTAAGAGTACTTTTAATTTATCATTAGTTAGTGACTCTGCATCTAAGTTAATGCAGGACATATGATCATCTAACTAGTTTTCTATATCATAGTAATCATTATAATTCATCATTCAATAATCAGGATTGTAGGTCATTAATATATTTAATTTATTTGAGGCCAAATTCATATGTGTACATTTTATATTTTACCTGTGTAAAATTTTGCTAATAACTCTAACAATTTTAGACTATATTAACTAAAGCAACTGGACATGCCAAATAGCGTTTACCCAATGGCAAAATTAATAAACATGTGTCTCATTACGAAATCATAGGCCAGAACGTGGTAGGTAAATGAATGCAACTTAATGCGGTTTCTGTATTTTCATTTTTGCTTACGCGTACTAATAAAATAAGAATAAAATAAGCAAATAATATGAAATAAGAATTTCAGAGAAAATGGGGAAATATTTTCATTGTTATATGGTATTTCGGCATTTTTTCATGTTAAAAAAAGGTTAAGAGAAGCATATAAAATGTAAGACACACTAACGCTTAGATGTGAAAAATAAATTGAGTTGTACAACTTTTAGGACTTTTTGAACTTTAAAGACTTTTACAGGACATCGTGTGCACAAAACTACTTAAAACTTCAGCTTTTAATTATACAACTATATTAACACGGGCGAGATAATAATGTTACCTCAACTAACGTTTTTTTTTTCATTCGCTTGCAGAAGTTTTTGCACACGACAAATTAGAAAGTAATCTACTAGTGTACTCCTCAGGTACATCTTGGTTGAGACCACTGCTCCCTGGGTTATACTTAAACTATGTATTTATTTATGATAAGATTTTAAAGGAAGCATTATCGCGATTACCATTATTTCTATGTAAACTTTTGCAATATATAAAAAGCTATTTACACTTTTTTATATATATCAGAAGACAGATATTTGGGCATGTATAGAAAGAGCTAGTTGTTTCTATACTGAACCTGTATTTTTAAAAACTGAGCTTCTTTAAGATTAATAACATTAACAATGTAAATAGAGTGTTTATTTAAAGGATTAGAAGCTAAAATATGAATAATTTCGTTTCAGTTTCTCTGCCGTCTTCAACTGCCCGTTGATATGGTTCCTATCAGTAAGCCCCCACAGCATGGCATTATCATTGATAGATGACATCAGTAACCCTGCGTTTACTGCCGACCACGTTCGATCAAATTCTATACCACCATTCACGTTCTTAGAGCGGGTCAACGAATTAGCAACTCTGATACGCTGGAAATTTAACCGATGGTGGGTTTATTTAATTTATCTTATCATCGATATCATTACTTTTGTTTACTTTTAGCATCTTTAGTTTGAATTGTAAATTTTGTTGATAAAATTTATCACCTTCTTTACATACTATACATCTCAATTCGCGTTAAATGTATTTAACTTTGTTCAAAGGCATTTTATTTTCTTGTGACTAAAATTTAAATAATCTTCGTTTTAAATTAGAACCTCAATTTATATGTAAATTTTTTTTATTGCTTCGAAGTAAACTCTAAATATTTAATTTTGAACAGGTTTTTAATCAATGCCTTTTTGTACAGGTGGGTGAAAAGTCGAGACTGCAAATCTTATAACCAAGCGTTTGAATCTGCCATTTTGAAACGAAATCTAGTATACTTGCCTCTTGATGAAGCCAAATATAACGGTTCACTAATGTTTGTAAACTCACACGTTTCAACTTCAGACGCAATCACCATTCCTCGAAATGTAATTGAAATTGGTGGATATCACATAAACAATACTGTCGAACCCCTGCCAGAGGTAAGACAGATATATCTAGCACATATAGCGCTGGACCGCCTTCTACTGTTCCCGTTGGCAGACCACTAAGGCAAATATAATAATAATAAGGTGGGAGAAGTAACGAAGCCCACTGTTATAGGTTGGCCATTTCCAGATGCAATTATCTACAATTCGAGTTGTAGATTTCCATAGGCAGTCCGTAAAGCGTCCTCTCGGCAATCCACTGGTTTTTCAATATTTATATCATAAAAATATAAATAAATGATAGTTTTCACTAATACTTAACGATTATATTAAGTATACTTATCGTCATTGATAATTCATTCCAATGGGAACTGAGAAACTCGTGTCTGTATTTACTTTACAGAAAAATGAATTCTCTTATTCGATAAATTTCTCCATATTTTTAGGATTTAAGAATGATAATGGACCAGTCAAAACATGGAGTAATTTTATTTAGCATGGGTTCTATGCTGAAAAGTACTAAATTACCGGATAAAATAAAGAAAGAAATTATAAAGGTATTTGGTCAATTGAAACAAACTGTAATTTGGAAGTTTGAAGACAATATACCAGATAAACCAAATAATATGTTTATTGTAGATTGGGCACCCCAACAAAGTATATTAGGTAAGTTATTAACTGCTACATGAATGGTTTATTGCTAACATGTTTCACTCAATGTATTTTTTGACGTAGTTCTTAAAAGTCAACCGGATTTTTTTATGTCATTCTTGTCAGCTCATTCTAACTGCGTTCTTTTTATCACTCATGGGGGTCTATTATCGACAACTGAGGCTGTGCACTTTGGAGTTCCAATAATCGGTATACCCATGTTTGCCGATCAGTTCATCAATGTTAATAGAGCCGTCGCTAAGGGCTTCGCTAAGAGAGTGGATCTTAATGATAATACCCCTGTTAACTTGAAGATCGCTATTGATGAAATCATCAGTAGTCCTAAGTAAGTATTACCTAGAGTAGTAAGCATTGTAAGAATAGCGAATACAACATGTACGAGGGGGGACGCAAGACACACATGAAATTTTTAGCAGTTGGGTATATCACGAGATATGTTGTTTCATACATGATGTATATGTACTATGTTTGGGAGTGATTTCAAGAATAGTTGATAAAAATATAAGATACTAATTTTGTTTTTAATAATAATCTTTTTAAAATTTTAAAAATCATAGCTTATTGAAAAACATGAATGACGATGGTCGACTCGGTCGATAAATGTGCGCTTTCTACTTGTCAAGACCCCTCCCCCCCTCCCCGTCGCATACCGCTGGCGGTAACTAGTCGTTGCGAGCGAACCATAACGTAAAAATTTCTTCCTTATCTGAGAGACAACTTTATTGGTACAGTCACAATAAGATAAATATCCTTAACCTTTAAATATGTTTTTAGTATCCACCACACACAAAGTAAAGTCAAGACATGTATACACGTGAAAACAATCAATTCGAAAATTGCAAAACTCAAAGTGACCTTGGACTGAAATTATTTAATGAAACTTTATTTACTAGCAAACTAAGCAGTTTCTTATCGAAACGTATCTTTACTAAGAACATTGATCATATTTTCATGTTGTTATAACAAACCATTTCTCCAGTTTGTCCTGAAAACTTTTAAAATTCCTAAATCGAGCATCGTTGATGACAAGTTCAAGATCTGTTGCTGGCCTAGTGAATACTTTAAATTTGGACAACAATTTATCATTTTTCAATATGGAAACATTTATGTTTTTTTTAAAACTGTTCTATGGATAATCTAATTTCATTCAATTTAAGGTATAGAGAGCGCATCGGAGAACTTTCTTTTATATATCACGACCGTGCCTTATCACCGGAAGCAGAGATAGTGCGTTGGATCCACCATGTGGTAAGAACTGGTGGTGCAACGCATCTGCGCTCACCAGCAATTCTCATGCACTGGTACCAGAAATTATATGTAGACCTCATTGCTGTGGTTGTTGCGATGACTGCAATAATCTGTGTTGCTGTTAACAGGATTTTTAGAAGAAAGGTTAATACGGTTGACACATGTAAAAAAAATAGTTAGGTACTAAATATTGTATTTAATAAAGCGTGTTTTGAATTAACAATAATATAAATGTCAGGATATTTATGTTTATAGATTTAGAAATAGATATTTTAAGTCATAATAATATATATTAGTAATTTATGTAATTCTGTGATGACCAATTCAAAGATGAACTAAAACAATAAAATTATAATAAAATATTCATTGTTTTATTTAGAGATGCAACGAATATGTGCTCTAAATGTGGACGAATAATCTGTCCAAAATGTACAAAATCAAATTCCCGTCATTGAAGGAGTTCACACTGGCTACATTTCGTGTTTTAAGTGTTTAGTTTTACTTATAAATTATAGATTTTGTTTCTTTAATTGTATTTGAACTACACTATGACATTGGTTATTCCTGTAATGATAGTTGTTAGTTGATGAATTCGTGGCGCAGTTGTCAAAGTATTGGCTTCGGCGTCGGTGGTTGTGGGTTCGATTCCTACACGGGGCAACTATTTGTATAACCTAAAGATACTTGTCACGCATCGGGGTGTTTGTTCACGTGAAATTTATGTTTGTAAAACGTCCTTACAACACAGGATAATGTTATCTTGAAGTAAAGGCAATCAATAAAAAGAGAAGAAAAAAAGATCTATATAAAAAAGTTGGAATACAGCTGTCTCAACGTTGCGACACATGATCATATTCCTTTGGACTGTACTTTAATTTTCAGCTTAGTACGAACTGCATTAGTGTATACCTAGTAACTGTAAGCATGCGGACCAGGATATATTTAAACAATGTTTACACACTATTTAATACAATTTGTATAAACATATAACTCGATTGTAATAAATCTTTCGCCCAAGTAGATTTAATACTATGGAATCTTGTATTAAAAATAATATATAAAAATCTATTATATCTAGTATCTAATTGTCATTATCAATGGTACATAGGGTTAGAATACATATGTCCATTTCAGGGTATTAAAGTGTGTTTTTATCAAAAAAATTAAATCAGATGACCATCTTTCACTATGGCAGTAAACAAATTACGAAACAATAAAATAATGCATTTCTTTTAAAAAGAATAGATTAGTTAGTGCCAACTCACGTTTATTTATAAATGCATTAAAGCACTTAGTTGAGTCATTTACATACGTTCTTAATCCTGGACAAAAGATATACGTAGTATTGTTTATATTATCCTGATGTGTACTAGAAATACTGATACGTTCTTCGCGATAATTAGAATATAATAGCTTCAAGATCTCTGTCAAAATCAAACTATAGCCCACTGTTAATTTCCTTATTGGCCTTAAAGCTAGAGTAATGTCGTGATTTAACATACATGATTAGTCGTTATTTTAATTGGTCTTCTCTTTTGAGTCTTTGAAGTTTGAGTAAATTATCTTGAGACGCCTTAATAACAAAAGTGACAAATAAAGTAATGTGACCGCAAACACTACAAGATCTATGTAAAGCTTTTGGTATAATGGTACGTCGACAGCAAAAGACCGCAGATGCGTCGCCCCTGCGGTACGCGCGACATACTCGACCCAATATACGAATTCCGCTCCAGGTGGTAGTATTCTATTATGAAACAAGTCCGATAACTCTTTTGCCCTTTGCTTGTAACTGAAAAAAAGGAATGCATTATGTCCATGTTGCTCGTTTTTCACTCAGATTTAATAAAAAAGGGAAATTACAGTTTTATTACTTTTAGTTAAAAGCTTTTCTGTAAATGATAGTTCTAGTAGGTAATGCGGATTGGTATAAGAAATATTATTCATAGAAACAATAAAATTCTCTGAGTTTGTGTTCCATTAAATCACTCAATTTCACTGGAATGCAACAGCGTTAATAATGTTTCATCAATGGTACAGAGGATGGTATAATTTAGTTATCTGTTGGTATTTGCAAAATAAGGAGTAAAATATCTTCTCTTATTCGTAAAAATGTGATACGAAGCTATCAATTTCTTATGGCAGATCTTAAGTAATTATCTAGTAACTGTTCCCAAGATTCAATGATAAAAATTTTACTGACGTGGAATTTCCTATTATTTATTCTATGGCGCTTTTAAGGTTTGGAGCCATGTCTTCAGCGAGGGATACTGTTAGACCAAATCCCTTTTGCAATACAGACTTCATATTGACGTGCTGGTCGCTCATCACAGGGATGCCAATCACCGGTACCGCGAAATTGACTGCCTCCGTGGTAGAGAGTTGACCGCCATGAGTAACAAAAACCTTTAAGTTAGGATGTGCTGAAATCCGTAAAATATTTTCATAAATTTATTAGTTGTATTAGGGTAATTTTTTTTTTATGCGAAAAGTTGTCAAACGAGCAGACGGGTCACCTGATGGTAAGTGAATACCGCCGCCCATGGACATCTGCTACACCCGAGTGTTACAGATGTGTTGACAACCTGTAATACGAAAAAACAGAAAATAAATCTCGATTTAAAGTAACGAATTAATGTTAGTCAAAATTATCTAAAATTATTTGGACTGACATATTTATTTACGATTATTATATTAGGCGCGATTTTTTTGTTAAGAAAACAGGAATTATATTATTTTGAATGTGAATTTACCGAGTTCATAGCCACGGGCGAGTTTAAAAATAAAGTTAAAAAGCGAAAAATCTATAAAAAAGTTTCATTTAAAATAGGTTTCAATTAAAAAATGAATTGCTGCTTGAAACACACTTTGATGCAATCACAACTCACATAGTATGCTCAATTGTGGTGCCAACTTCACGAGGTGGACGTTCGACGGAACGTTTGGCAATTCGTTCTCGAACTTCCATATAACGGTTTGTTTGAGCTTGGCGTACATTTTAAGTAAGGAATCTCTCATTTCACTGGACATACTGAAGTAAATAACGCCATGCTTTGATGAGTCCATCAAGATTTGGAGATCCTGTAATTTAAAGAAAAAAATAAAATCAAAAAGGAAAAAACGGTATTAAGAATTCTAATACAAAATTAAATAATTTCAGATCATTTTTTATTTAAAAAAAATTTATGGGGTTTAACTAAAGAACAATTCAATTACGGACCCTGAAAATATTTACTATAAAACAAATCCAACATAAAGTGTTTTTATTGATGCATATTTAGTTATAATGACATTATAGGAGATATGTTAGAAAAGTGTATGAAATGTGTTTCTTGTATGGAAATCAATGTCTTATAAATAATTTTAGATGTACAACTTGGGCAAAGGTTTAACTTTGGCGTCGATGTGGTATCCAGCGATGTACTTAGCGTTTTGCGGCAGACGAAACGGTGTGCCAAGGGACGGATGTGAATTGAGTAGAAGAAATGATCCGTTGTAAACGACTTCGTTTTACGATGGCATCAACACGTTCCACTTTAACGCTATTGGAGGGAAATAACGGTTGTACGTCCACTTTTCAAAGGGTACAATCAACAAACTGAAATAATGATATATTAAGTCAAGATTAAATAAAGTAGATAACTGGATGTTAAAACAAGCGACTAAAATTCAGTTTTAAATTTTGGTTCCGGTTTTTACACTCACTACTATTGGCACCATTAAAGCCAAAACCTACTAACCTGATGATTGCGGATCTTTTTAACATCGTCCAGAGCTCCATGGTCCTCTCCCAGAAAGTTAAGGGCGGTCGGTTCGTAGAGAACAGATCGACGTTGAAAGACGGATTTGGCGATTCGTCGATAATTTTCAAAACTTGCCAATGCGCTTCCGTTGATCCAAACCAAATCAGCGGACATTGGAATAGTGGAGCAATTCTGAAGTGAGATGAAGGAAATTTTTTGTTACAACATTTTCATGTTTCACCTGTATCTTCGTTTTTATTTTTTTTCAACATACAATTGTTAGTTTCCAGCATTTACAACGTGAAGCGAACTATGGAATTAATAATTTTAAACATTTTGGAGCGTTTGAAAAAAAAATATGAGAGTGAAATTTTTACAATGAACGCGCTGGAAAATGAAAAAGCGACATGATAGAGTTGGTTGCAAAGTGACCAAGTTCATGGCAACCACTAACTACTTATTGACATTTACACATAATTCCAATTTATTTAATTAAACTGTTATCAATTGCATTTAGTGAGTTTTTCACAAACGAAGAGTAGGTACGTAAGAGTACAGGGGATAACATTTTTAGTTATTTTTTTTTGTTATGTTAAACAAGTATTACTTCTTACGTGCGTATATAAATAACACATGTACTTTTTTAACTCAATAATTACTCCAAACCAGTATTTTACCTTTGTCGAAACAATTATCTCATTACTTAGCAGTAGCCGATGCTCTGCGCCTTGGCACGTTGCCAACGAATAAATTCTTCTTTAATTTAATTTTACACTCGCCTAATGCTTTCAATTTTTCTTTTAAGATTTGTTCATTTTAGTTTATATTTATTCTGAATTCAAGTTTGAATTCGTTATTGCTACGACATAATTCATTACACAATTTTTAGTTTGAACATATTAAAGCCAAATTCGAGTATATATGTAATATGTAGACATAAGAAGAAATTGATTAACAAATGCATTTAGAATTTACATACCCTGCAATAAAATTGCTGAATAACCATTCAAGTATGACAACATCAAATTGTTCTCTTGGGTCGCTCAGTAAGTCCACAATTTCCTTCTCTTCTAGTACTTGACGGTGAATATTGTACATCATGTACAGGAAGAACAACGAGTCGCTGATGTTATTTTTCCCAACCATGTTTCGTAATTTGAAAGTTTCAACTAAAAATAAAAAAAATAAATAAAAATAAAATAATAATAAATGACATTTTATAAAATATTGTAGGAGCAAGCTATTGGTAAATTTGCACTGATGGAAAGGCTTTTTAGTGTTTTATTTGGCTAAGTTAAATGAGATTATTATATTGAGCGCTTAGCTTAGCGGTAATAACGTCTGGGCGCATTACCCGGAAGAAATCTACATTAAAATACATCACAAGTGAAATAAAAATACGATTGCATAGGTTAATTGCCATTATTTATCTCTACGTCTGTCATCAAGAATAAACAGTATGGCCATTAATAAATTTAATGGTTTTATTTGAGAAGAATGCTTAAAACTATGCTTCTATTAGTTTTAAATCACAAATAGTTTCTCAAAACTCTTTATATTGATGTAGCCAAATGTTTGTCAAATGTCACCACGAAGCAGTAACTTTTAGATGTCAGTTTCTTCTCATCAGAACCGAATTAGATTCTTAAACCTACGCTTTTCTACAGCCATCGTCAAGTTTAGTATTACATACTGCAGCTTTTAAATATCAGTTCTTACGTTTCACTGCATCTTGAGCACGTAACCTTGTTCCGATGTCGCTGACGTCGATTTCTCTTAATCGTGCATCAGTCTCGTTGCGGGGAAAAGATGTGACATGAACTACCTGTAAAGTTATCCTTAATGAGATATTTATCATATGCAAAAACGCGTCCGCTTGTCCGTCTTTTCACATAACACCGTTTTGTAAGTAATAAGGATGGGAATAGTTATAGTTGAGCGGAGTGATGTACTTTTTCTTTAGTTCTCTACGTTTACCGTCCCCGTAGAAAATTATATTATGCTAAAGTTTAAAAAAAAGACTGTTTCTAACATCGACAGTTCTATGTTTGGGCAACCATTAAAAGGGATTAAGCTGTTTTTTCTACCACTTTAATTCGTCCATAATTTGGTTTACCAGGTGTACGTACAGCAAATGGAGGGGTTACCGCTATTATTGAAAAAGTATCGCTGATAACGTATGGTATACTGGTTCCTTTCGAGTTGTTAATAGTGACTGACGAGACTAGATGATAACATGGATAAAACCTTTCAGTACTATTGTATTTATTTTATTTTGATAGTAATAAAGTCTGTAGAGCAGATAAAAGCACTACAAAGAGTTATAAAGTTAACAATAAAGAAACATTAACAACCCCCTAAACGCACTTTATGAATCTTATAACCAAAATTGCTATTTTGACACAATACATCTGTAAATGCCTACTTTTTTATTTTGGTATCTATATTTCTTAAAGGTTGCCAGAAAGAAATTATTTTAAGAAATTAAGACGCCCTATGTACTTCTTAATTGTGAACAAATATACGTTCTAATTTTTCTGTTATACCTTTCTCGATGACCACTCAAATAGGTCCTTAATTCATTCACTTCATTCAGGGATGACAAAATAATTAGGTATCTCGTGACCAGCTCCCAATAAATGTGTAACAAATCCGTGTCCTAATATGCTGTGACTTTTAGATGACATTGGGAAGAATACGAGCACTCGTAAACCTTCATTGATGGTGACTAGTAATAGGCAGACAAGAAGAGTTCGCTTGTTTAAAAACATCTGTAACGGATAAAGATAATTTGACATAAAGGTTTACGCATTCAATAGGTATCAAAAATATCTATTCAAAAACGTTTCAAAAACGGCAATAAATAAGCCAGAACTTCAAATACAGTAGTAATATAAACACTGGGCTTTGAGAAACTATTTTTTTATGTGTAAAGTTGGCAAGCGAGCAGGCGGTTCACATGATGTTAAGTTCTACTGCCACCCATGTGTATCTACAGAACCTGACGCAGAACGGCGTCGACAGCTCAATTCAACCATTTTAGTAATAAAGTACACGAGTTTTACAGGGTGGTTCTTTTTTGTTATTATGTTTTTATTTAAAAATAATAACAAAAAAGAAAGGTTTCTTCACGTTTTCCTTCATTGCTGAGCACGTGATAAGTTAGCACTTAAAATTAACAATATTATCGGCGCTGGGGATCGAACTCAGGTCGCTCGTGTGTATTGAATTAAAAGCGGGCGCCCGAACAACGAGCTATCACGGCTCTGTTATATATAATTATATACATTTCATTGAACGTCGGTGCTCAATCTGCCAAATACGTAATTAACACGGTACATACCGGATAAGTACTCATGCTATGCACTTATTAATGCTCATTACGTAATTGTATGTTCTAGTGTTATCCTTATTCTAAAGCGTACGAACAATCAATCAATTTATACACTATACATAAAAAAAAATTTTTAAAGAAATACAAGGCGTGCACTTCTTCTTTCTACAGTTTTTTATGTTAGCCTTAATGGGGTGACAAGATATTAGCTGGATAAATGTGTATTTATTCCTTCACCGGTTTTTTATATGATTGCCTTGAATATGCTGACAAGGAATACTCAGTCTATACGGTACAATATTAAAAAAAACTGTGCGCATTTTAATCTAAGTGTAACCTGGAACCAATACTCTATTTTTATGTGAAAAGTTGACGATCGAGGAGGGATAGTCATTATTTTTTTTTAAATCTACCAACGTTACCTCATCGACCAGACGAAGCACGAATACTTCACACCGGTCTCTTATAGCCGGTGTTTCTAAAGTGTTATATGATAAAAAAAATATTGTGGCAGTGACTTTTTTTTATGTGAAAAGTTGCCAAGCGCGCAGGCGGTTCACCTGATGTTAAGTGAATACCGCGGACATTTGCTACACCCGAGGGCTGCAGATGCGTTGACGACCCTTTGACAATTGGGCTCCGGCCACCTCACTCATCAGACGAAACGCGAAAGTATTATACTTCCACTTTACGCCGGTCTTCTGTGAGTAAATTTACCGGACGAGCCTGCTCATTCGTGCAACATCCGAGGCTGCTGCGTGGCCCTACCACCGGAACTACATCGACTTCAGGATTTGACTGTAAAAACTAATGTCACTCTGTCTGTAATCTAGTTTAAATATTTGACGGTTAAATTGGTAATGTTGCTAATAATGTTGTTATGCTGCTAAATAGTTCTTTTATTTTTAAAAGGATTTCATTTAAGTAAACAATTTTCTATTATGATATTTTTCAGTTTTTACTATTGAACAACACTGATAAACTGAAACTATTTTGTGGGGATCCCTCGAATTCACTTTTCTCTTTTAGATAAAACGTTTGAAGAAAGCTTTGTTTTTAGAAATATTTTTATTTTGTTATACGAATTTTCATTTAAAATATTTTTATTATTAACATTAATAAATAAATATACTTTACGAAAAAAAAAAACAAATATTATTTTATTACAAAATAAGCCCCTACTAACGCAAAAATAAACGTAAAAGTAGATATAATTAAATAACGTACTTTGCTTATACAAATTATTGTGTACATAGAAATTAATGTTAAAAACAGTTGTCATGACATAATAAAACTATGTGTCCTTTCTTAAAAATCGTGCCGACGTCCTTGAGACGACACAAAGAAATAAGCAGGAAGTTCGAAATAAGCCCTTCAATCTCTCGGTTCCCCAACCCACAAGATCACATACGAAATTGATGATCGGAGCGACACTCACATCGTCCTCTCCCCAGCGTAGCCTTGAGTGTGTAGTCTGTAAGGGTATTCACCGCATTTATGACTGTTCCTCATTTAAGGAGAAATCCATTGAAGAGAGAAAGAGTTTAGTGGAATCGTTAAGGTTGTGCGCCAATTGCTTGTGAGTAGGTCACAATTCACGGCACTGTAGGCTCTACGGTACATGCCGTTACTGTAAGCAAAAGCATAATACTCTGTTGCACAGTCGGCCTGATGAGCAGAAATCAGTTGTTCCCGGTGTGTCTCATACTGTAGCAATGCCGGCGATAGCCTCGCCAGAGATATTACTAAGCAACGCTCTAGTCGAACTTGCCAATCCTGTTACGAAGGAAACTCTTATGGTGCGAGCTCTGCTAGACAGCGGGAGTCAGTCTACCTTTATAACTTCCGCCATAAGGCAAAGATTAAATCTGACTCCTCAGCCAACTAAAACTCGGGTCATAGGTATTGGCGATGTCTCAATGAATTTGAACATTGAGCGTTGTGTGGTGCAGTTAGCTTCCAAAAATTCGGCATACAAAGTCATAAGTTCTTGCTTAGTGTTGCCTACGATTACGGGTAAATTACCCAAGGCAAAAATTGATATTAGTCACCTAAACGTATCGAAATTTCGGTTAGCAGATCCTTCCTTCAATAAACCTTCAGACCTTGAGATGCTGATAGGCGCGGACCTATTTTGGGACATAATAGGTTTCAAATCGCATGAGTTGGGTAAAAATAACCCCGTACTTCGGAGTTCTAAATTGGGTTGGTTAGTTACCGGCTCTGTAATGGGCCTAAAAGGTAAAAATGTTAAAGGTTCAAGCAATAAATCTATATATAGCAATTTTTCATCGATGGATGATTCATCAACTCTCCACTCGGAACTAACCAAATTCTGGGAATTGGAGAGCTTTCCTCATACTTATCCCTTAACTACAGAAGAAAGTTTTTGCGAAAGGAATTTTCTCGCTAATACAATCCGAAATGAGGACGGAAGATTTTGCGTTGCCTTACCTCTCCGTGATACACCAGACTCTGTCTTGGTGACTCCTACTATGTTGTAAAAAGGAGGCTATTGAGTTTCGCTTTAGAAAACAGCCGGACCTTAAAAGGTTGTACCTTGAATTCATGCACGAGTATAAAGCTCTCGGTCATCTTTCCTAAGGTCCCAATCAAAAACCTAGCGAAGCGTATTTTCTACCTCACCACCCTGTAATAAAAGTGCAAAGCGAGTCCACGAAGCTTCGCACTGTATTTGAAGCTAACACTCGGACGTCTTCGGGCATTTCCATTAACGACTTGCAAATGGTAGGGCCTATAGTGCAGGATCCATTGTTTAACATAATTATACGATTTCGTCAGCATAAATATGTTCTATCTGCGGACATAGAGAAAATGTTTCGACAAGTCTCTTTAAGAGAATCGGATCGTAATTTGCAATTGATTTTGTGGCGCGACAACGAGTCGGAGCCCATAAAAATATTTCGATTAAATACTGTTACCTACGGGTTTTCTAGTGCTAGTTATCTATGTACGAGATGCATTTGGCAGTTAGGAGAAGAGTGCTCCGATCTTAAAATTAAAAACGTAATCCAAAGAGATTTTACTGCGACGATTTATTAACGGGATGCGACTCAAGAGAAGAGTTAAGCTATATTCAGCGTAATGTAGCCGCTACTTTGGCTAAAGGTAAATTTCCTCTGCGAAAGTATCGTTCAAATGTACCTGAACTTCTCAACTGTGATGAGATCAATCTGGAGGAGAGTGGATTAATGATTAGTAGTTCTACAGGCACATTGGGCGTGGGTTGGTATCCTTCGTCGGATGAGCTTCATTTTAACATTAATTTCGTAGCTCCAGACGTCATTACTAAACGAAATATATTGTCTTCCACGTTCAAAATTTTCGATCCTCTAGGATTATTATCTCCATGCACAATTAGATCAAAAATTCTTGTTCAAACGTTGTGGAAACAAGGGTTTAATTGGGATGACCCGGTGCCCCAGGATGTTCAATCTTCCTGGATAAAATTTACACAGGATTTGCCATCTCTGTCGACGATTAAGATCCCCAGATGTGTGTTACTTGACAGCCCTATCTTAATTGAAATGCATTGTTTTTGTGATGCTTCACAGCGCGCTTTAGGTGCTTGTATTTATCTGAGATCAAGCAATAAAATTTCACAAGTGTCTTCAAATCTACTTTGCGCTAAGGCTAAAGTAGCTCCTATAAAGACCACGACGATTCCGCGCCTAAAATTGAACGCTGCGCTTCTTTCCGCAGAACTTGCACATGCTGTGTCCAACGCTCTACGATGCAATATTGACCGATATGTGTACTGGTCTGACTCAAGCGTTGTACTTGGGTGGTTGAATACTTCAAGCAAAACTGATACGTATGTCTCCAATAGAATAGCTAAAATAAGGGATCTAACTGGTTCCACAAGTGCCGACAGCTTGCAATCCCGCTGATTAGTCTCACGTGGCATAAGTCCTCAATCTATTGGTAGCTCTTCACTTTGGTGGCGCGGACCATCTTACCTGCTTGAACCAGAATCCGCATGGCCAACGTCTAGCTTCACTGAAGTCACTAGCCCTTATGATATTGAAGCATTTCCAGCCTTGGTGGCGGACGCTGCACCTCCGGTACAAAGTAGTGACCTTAGCATTTGCATACAAAGGTTTTAAAAAATTTATTTCCCTTCAAAACACATTTGCTAGAGTGCTTAGATTCTTACATAACTGTAAAAACCCTAGTAGTAAGTTATTAGGACCTCTACAAGCTTCTGAAGTAGATAGAAGTTTGAAATGTTTAATAAGAATAGCTCAAGGCGACACTTTTGCAACCATCATAAAGTTGCTTAAGGACAACAAACCTATGAAGTCCCAAGCGGCTTTATGTTCCCTTAATCCATTTCTTGACAGCGAAGGCATCATCCGAGTAGGAGGTAGGATAGATTCCTCGAGTTATCCCTATGAGAAGAGACACCCCATTATATTGAAAGCTGATCAACACTTAACAAAATTATTATTTCAAAGTGAGCATAAACGCCTTTTACATGCTGGTCCCCAGCAACTACTTGCCTCTATTCGTGAAGGTTACTGGCCTATTGGCGGTCGTAAATTACTTTTAAATATATTGGCTCAGGATGGTTAACGACACACATTCAAATCAATACATTCGCACTGACTTCCAACCGTAACGGACTCGCATTCGAATACAAACTAATTATTTCTTAGTTGAAATTATATTAATATAACACCTCCAGAAGCGTTGTTTCTTCTTCCTTGTTCTATCCTGAACACTATGTTAGATAGAACAAAATGTAATTAATAAAATAAACTTACATCGATAGAGAAATCAGTCTTCCAAGCGTGCAGTCCGTTTCAAACAAAGTCAGCTACTGTTTGTTGTCGTGTTAGTGACTAATAAAACTACGTCTTTAAGGTCCCGTGCACACTGATTATGGATATAACACTTGCATGTATCGTACATATATTATAAAATTATGATAATGTAACCTAATTAAAACTAAATAGGTGATAAAATTAACACAATATAACCATAATACAAATAAAGTGTGTTTACTTAAAAATTAAACTACTTATTAAAACAAAAAAAAAATTAACTAGATAAAACTTGTTGGCTAAATCGCCGCCGTCTGTAGGCAGCGTGCCCATCAAGCTGGCCGAGTTGCCACGCTGTATCGCGAGGTTGATTCGCTGGCCAAAGTACGAGCCAGCTCTTGGGTCACCAGAAATGGTAACCAGACCCGAGCAGATATCTTTGTACATTCGTTTCGCGTCCCCACGGCCCGAGTGTCTCCACGCCAAACAGTACAAATATATAGCCTTCGCGGAGGGCTATTTATTTGCGGCGCTTCGTACTCTCCGCCGCCGCTGCAGCAGTGCCTGCCTTGCGAGCATTTCCCGAAACATGCGACGGCGATAACGAGTCAACACAAGTCGCATCCCAGACAAAAGTGCGCCCGTTTTGCCAGGGAATGAGCTTTATTCCGTCAGGCCTTTATGAAAAATGTTAGTATTGACGAATTCATGGGGGAATAAAAAAATCTAAATCGTAATTGGTCAACATGAGTTTCGATCCTCTTGAAAGCCTTTCCAACCCAAAAACTTTTTGGTAGTTGAGAATGCTAATAAGGATTAATAAAATGGTAAATTATAACAGTTACCGTTTGCTTTTTGTAACATTGTTATAATATTTATCTTATCGACAATACTTACAATTTGAGAGTATGTTCTCACTAACAAGCTGTTTACCTTAAGGTCTGTAATAGTATAAACTCTTTTCGTTTTCTTTCTTTTCAAACAACTCTTGCTTGATAAAGACGCTGATATGACCCATTATCAATTATGCAGTTGGGTGCTTCTCAGAATTATCGTAAGATCACTTAATATGCTGACTCGTCTACTTAATATTAGTATCAGGTACACTTTCGCCTTACGAAAGTATGACCAGGATCAATCTCAGCTCAATTAAGACTGTTACGCCATTTTTCCTTTATCATGTAAGGCTGGCAATGAAGCTTACATATATAAAAATAAAATACATTTATAAACATAAGGTATGACTATAAAAATCATATTTAATACACTTGAAGAATTACTTTTAAATCAAGGCTATAATTAAATGTATTTAAAGTTCTCGAATTGATCTCTTGAAAAGAGTATGATTCGTTTTTTATTTTTTCCTACTAGAATTGAAGGTACCTCAACTGCACTTGCAATTAGCATTTCAAATAATAAATAGAGTACATGTACTGTGCAGACCCTATTGAAAAGCATGCTTCATTGTAGTATGTTATGTGTATACTGTATAAATGACTTACAAATAGACACTATATAATTCGGTTTAAATTTTCAGTAGCGACATCTGTGTGAAAAGATGTAAAGAACAAATTCTATTTAACTGTTTAGTCAGTGTTACCACCAGATGGCTGTACGTTCGAATAAAAAACAACTTAATATTATCTTACGAACTTAGATGGCGTTGTAACATTTTTTTAATATTTTCCAATAATATAATAATATTTTCCAATAATAATATTTTCCAAACTGGTTTTTACCCTAAATCGAAGGTTATGGGAGAGATTTTAAACCCGGAACCCTCACCTGGTTCTTTCGCCCTCACCATGATTATGAAAAAACTTAACATTCTAGTCTCATTGATAAGACTGTTAATAAAAGGCCTGATTTTTCTCATTCATTTATCACTACATACTATAAAGCAAAGTCGTCCCGCTTCTTGTCTGTCTCTATGTATGCTTAGATCTTAAAAACTACGCATAATTCAAGAGGAAGGTTTATATGTATAATACATTGTACAGTGGCATAGGCGTATACAGCAGGGGGGCCGGGTGAGCCGTGCCCACCCCAGTATCGTCTAGTGCCCACCCCAGAATTTTTGGTTACCGATTCGAAATTCTAGGCTGGACACCTATGAGAAGAGACGTTCTCAAGCATTACTCTTCTTCATATAGGAAACTACGGGTGTAGATATTGAAATTCTCGAATTTTCTCTACTGTAATATGCATAATGTTTGATTTTTTTTTGTAGTAATGGCCCAGGCCCACCCTGGACAATGGCAATAGATACGTCGATGCCAGTGGGCTCATAAAGTGGGCTCCGACTACTTCATTCACCAGACGAAACGCAGAAGAATTTCCCCGTGGTATTTCCCCGGACGGTCCTGCCCATTTATGCAACAGAGTAGACTGTTGCTAAACCGTAGGTACTACAGTTAAGTCAAATATTCAATTATAATGAAAGTATATACATTACATTCGGCTCTTTTATAGCTTTTAATACATCCATCCATGGCTTGTGTTTGTAAAATATGCTACCGGCGAACAAATAACTGACAAACAGGTTTAGTGCGAAAAACATAACGAAATTCAGTTTAAAACTTGGTTTAAAGTTTAAATTAGAAAACTTGCACCCACTTTTATACTTTAGATTTATTTGTATGGACAGATTGTTTTCTAATAATTAAGTAAAAATCGATGAAAATTGTATTTCAATGTAATAGTTTATTGTCCCGAAAATTAAATAATTTGGTGAGTACACAATTAAATATTTTATTCCTCGAGTCATAATCGTACAAGATTTTTACTATTTTTATTAAAAATACTTAAGTAACAATGTTTAGTTTTCTTTTTTCATTATACCCCTTACTCTAAACATTTACAGCCAGGGATAGGACATTATAATTTGACTAAAGAAGTATTTTGTATGATTCTGAATGATTTCATACTTAATCAACATCAACAATATGTTTATTTGTCACAAAGTTTACGAGATTCCTGGTTTTATTCGGTCTTAATAATCTTAATTACGACTACTAATTTTAAAGTAATTCGTGATATGTTTATGTTATGTCGTGATCTTATCTTACAGATAACAAGAATTTGCAAGCGTACATCGATTAGAACTTGCACTAGGCTTTGAAATATACGTAACAATTGCCACTGTAATGACACCGACTTTTTTTTAATTTATATGAATTATGTTCTTAGAATATTTAAATGAAGACGAAGCAATTTCAAAAGCTATTATCATGCCCGCAGTGTTTAAAGAAAGCATTTAAAATTAATGTTTTAAAATCGCTGCATTAAATTTATAAAACATGAAATTTATCAATAAGCCGTAGGGCTATGTCTATTGTCTTTATGCTACATATTTTATTGATATAAATAGTTTTATTTACTCAAATTTTGCTTTATTTAAATCAATGTGATGTTAACGTTGGTAAAATAAATTGTTTTGATATGTTATCTGATGCTATATCTGCTAGCTCTGCAATTTATTTTTTGGCTCAACACAGCTGACCAGTTATTAGACTCTGGACTAATTTAAAAGCTTTCGGTTATCAATTTGATATTATTATGAAAAAGATCTCATTTTTGAGGATCCAGTAATTATTTATTTGCAATATGTACATGAAATTATTTATTTGCAGTACCTACATAACAATCGTCAACACGATTATCTTATTGCGGGTAGTTATTTAAAAATAATTGTTCTTTTTTATATTAGACGCAAACTAGATGGATGTAATAATATGTTATCACAACTATGGTTTTAATAAAGCGAACCTTTGTTACCTAGATCGATAAAAAACATAAGGCAAGATCGTTCTACAATAAGAATATTATCTTATCGAAATAGTCCACACACCACGTACGATATGAACGTGAATATCACATTGTTAAACAAACGTCAAGAATGAACAGGCTGGTTACCGTTTTGTGTATTTTGTCTGTGGTGCACGCTGAAGACAAATATGCTCTGAATATTTTGCATTATAATGACTTCCACGCAAGGTTAGTGTTAAGAGAGTACTGAAGAAATATTTATGTACCAAGCAGCACTAAAATAATTCACTATAAATTGAAGTTACGATAGATTAAATGTCTTATTAAGAAACCAGCTCAATTACCGCTTTGTTTTGAACATATGAAATTTAGTTAATCTACTTTTTCATGTAGTTTATAATCTGCTTATAGTTTTAGAGTTTTTTCATTTCGTACCATCAGAAACAGATTATAATTGTTGTACATATGACTTATTTATTTATTTATTTATTGCACATCCATTTTTATTATCTATGTTTATTACGTTACCTATTGAGTAATATTAAAAGTTACCACTTCGATTATTCCTTTTTATTATTAGGTTTACGAAATATTTTTAAAATGTCAAAATCATTAGATTTGTAGAAACAAGTCCCGCTGGCACAGTTTGTAACCCATCAGTAGCACCATGTATTGGAGGCTTCGCCCGTTTGGCAACAGCAGTGAGGGAAGCTTTGGAAAGAGAGCCAGATTCTCTACTACTCAACGGTGGAGATAGCTTCCAGGGAACTATCTGGTACAATTTACTACGATGGAATGTAACCCAGGATTTCATGAATATGATACCTCATGACGCCCATGTAAGTATCAGAGTCTTCGATATTTTTTTTTCATATGTTATGAATTATACGATGTGGAAGATACTTCATGTTAGGTTGTGATGATATTTAAAGGCAAGGGTCAATAAAATAAAGAATAAACCACAGCGTAAGTGTGATAATATATGAGGTTAGGCTACTACAACACAAGTTTGATGACAAATAAATTCAGATAAACGGCTTCAAACATGCTCTAATGAAAAATTACACGTTTCTAGGCAAGTAATAAATTAAAATCTTCACCACATTTCACTATAAAAAGTAGAGTAAATTAGCATCTTGTTTATGTCACACTACTGTGCGAAAACCTCCTCTGACACAGTCTACTCCCCTCTGCGGATTGGCAGATTTCACAATTCTTCGAAACATTTTTATTATATTGAAAATATGCGGATTTCCGCACACTCGATATTTTCCTTTAACGCTGAGCACGAGATAAGCCAACGCAATCACAGATGGTTCAACTACAATCACTGTACGGGGTTTAAACTAAGGTTCCTTGAGTATAATAAATTAAAAGTGAGCCCCCGGACACTGAGCTCACGGATCTTCATGATATTAAAATAAAATCAACAATCGATAGATAAAGATAATTCTGCCTAAAATTTATTTAACCTCTCCAGGTACTTGGAAACCACGAATTCGATAATGGCATCGAAGGCGTTGTGCCTTATTTAGAACACTTGGATTCTAAAGTATTAGCAGCAAATATAATAGATGACTTAGAACCTACAATCCAAGGACTATATTACCCTAGTATCGTGGTAGAACGCAATGGTCGAAGAATTGGTATCATTGGTGTCATTATATCCACAACTAATGTAAGTTAACATTTAAGTACTTAATAATTATAAGAACAATTATGTGTTGCAGTGAGATTATCTCTATTCAATTTTCTTTAAGGAATTAGCGTCTACTGGACGTTTGAGATTTACGGACGAAGTGGAGGCTGTTAGAGTCGAAGCAGCAAAACTACATCAAGATGGTGTTGATATAATAATTGTGTTGTCGCATTGTGGAATTGAAATTGACAGGTACGCTGTATCTATACAACAATTCTAAATCATCTTTTGTGAGGTACAGTCTTTACGTAGTTTATTGGTTAACATTTACTGTGTGATCTCCGGAGTTTTCAATGCTAACAACTATTATAAAATATATATTTTATAGTGTACATTGACTATAGAGAAAAAGATAAATACATCAGGCTATATCAAGCTCTCGGAATCGGGCCTTTATACAGCTTTTAAACGCAAACTATTATAAACGTTTTCCACTATGAAAAATTAGACAACGATAAAGTTTTTTTTTTATTTTGTGATTCGCAGGGACATAGCGTTGCATAGCGGACCACATATCGATATAATCGTGGGAGGACACAGTCACACATTATTGTATAACGGTGACCCACCCGAAAACTCAGCGTTCTTGCCCCAAGGACCATACCCAGTTGTAGTACAACAAGAGTCAAGACAGGTAACATTAGGTTATGATTAACGTAGCTAGCACAATATATAAGTGAATGTTAGTTCGTTCTAAAAAAGAGCTTCAGAAATTGCGGCGTCAAGATTTTAACGTTGGTAGGGCCACGCAGCAGCCTCGGCTGTTGCACGAATGGGCAGGCTCGTCCGGGTAAGTGCCACGAGCTCACAGAAGACCGGTGTAAAGTGGAAGTATAACACTTTCGCGCTTCGTCTGGTGAATGAGGTGGCCGGAGCCCAATTGTCAAAAGGTTGTCACCGCATCTGGAACCCCCCGAGGGTTCAGCAGATGTCCATGGGCGGCGGTATTCACTTAAAATGCTGCTCGCCGTTCTGTCGTGCCTTAGATATTGTAAATGTGAAATTCAAAACTGATGATTAATTATAAACGTTGGGGAATTTTATTCTCAGGTTTTAATTGTTCAAGCCGCTGCACACACGCAATATTTAGGCGAAATAAAGCTATTCTTCGATAGCAATGGAAATCTTCTAGATTGGGAAGGACATCCACATTACCTTGGAAATGAAATTGTTCAAGGTATAGTTGTGCAAACTCTTAGCAATAATTTTGTAATATAGCTTTATGTGGCAATGCGTCGTATTATGTTGTTAGTTAAAATAATATAACACAAAAATATTTTTGAAAGCTTTTTAAACTATCCAAATGAAAAGAAAGAAATAGTTTTTACTTTTTAAAATTATTTTATTATGTAACTTATTTAAGTTATCTTCTTAGCTTAAAAATATAATATAAGGGAAATAAAAGACAAGTTAAAAATTTGGTAAATGAGTAGGTAGTTCTACCTACTTCAAAAGCTACGTAAGCCATGTAGTAAGGGTAGTAATTAAGGCAGTTGTTATGGCGCAAACTGATTTTGGGTTATGTAAATGATCTACAAATTTTCAGTTTAGGTATAAAGCGGTCTTTAATGAATACAATAGATGTTTATAATTAAGAAAATGTTTGCTACAATGCATCAACTAGATGAAGGTTTAAAAAGTGAAATTTTAAAACATTGCCGAAACATTTTTTGACGCTACTAAGATTCGAACTTCGATAAAAACGATCATAGATAAATATTTCAACTAGTTTAAATTTATTTTATTACAAAGATTTAGACCTAGCGAAAGGTAAACTATCGTTTACGTTTATCATAGGCGAAAATGGTATCGCTCAAAAAAGTGTAAAAACATTCACTATTATCACGCATCAACTTATACATGTAGGCAGGCCGGGGAAATGAAATAGCCCCATAGAAAATGTAGAAACATTTTTATGAAGATGTGTAAAAACATGATCAAAGTGTCCGAGTTGCTTTTATTTTTATAGGATTCTTTGTACATTAGTGACCGGAAATGAAAATGTCCCGTTTATTTACTACGCCATTGCATACCGTGATTACAGCACCGGACGTCTTGGCAAAGATAAACGAATACCTTCCTGTAGTAACGGAAATGGCTTCGAGGGAAATTGGAACTTCTTTAGTCCACTTGTCATCGAGATGTACATGCTCCGAGTGTAATTTAGGCAGCTTTATTTGCGATGCTTTCATGGACGCCGTAAGATCTTTTCTAAAATAAATATGATTTTCAATGACACGCTTTTATAGAAATGGATGCTTTCTATTTGAATATTAAAATATTTTTAAGTTAATTTTTCAAATGCAGTATATTTTTATATTGCAGTAATTTCAGAGTGTAAAAAACGGGCCTTAGTTTATACTTTTAATGATATTTTATTTTGTTTTGTTTATGTGTATTAGATCTGGGGAAGAGATTGTAACATTATTGTAACTAAACATTTTTAGTAAAAAAATAAATATTAATACAAAAGCGTGATCTATTCATCAGAAACAACATGGCTCCTGAACTATGCCAAGTGCATAAGTGGTTTAGTTTCTTCAATGCAACAAACTGTTTTATTTTTAGGCTTTAGATAAAGCTGAAGGGACAAATTGGCACTATGCACACTTTTGCATTATCAATCAAGGTGGTATCCGGGTAGATATGGAGCCTGGTTGTAAGTAATCATATGGAAAATGTAATGGATTTTTTCTGACCTCATGACCCCAAAAAACCTGGACACTGCAAAGTTATAATAGTTCTATCATCATAAAATATTAAACTTGACTGGTGATAGTGATAATCTTCTCAAGTCACCATTTATTAACAACGCAGAAGACAGACCACAGTTTACACCACAATGGTATTGTAGTAGACAGGAAAACATACAAAATAACCAACTGTATAAATCATCAAACCGTCTTAACAGGCGTAGTACCGAGCCTACCAAGTGAACGGCGTGGAGTATATGTATTCATACTGATACGTTCAAACACTCATTGTAAATAGTTAGACACACACTCAGTGGTTTGCAACACGCCTGTAAATGTGATTACTGTCAAAGGGTGGCGGTTCTCACTTATAATCCGGTGAACCACTTGCTCAGTTTTCATCTCTTATAAATACACAAATGAATAATGAATTTGGTGGGAGCCTTCGTCCTTTCTGTTGTGTAGCTTAATTCAAAGGTGATGATAATGATTTTATTATCATAATCACCTTATCGCTTTGAATTGCAGTGATTACATTCGAATCTTTGCTGTTGTCGACGCCCTTCGAAAACAATGTGGAGGTGTTCGATTTGAGAGGGGATCATATATTGGAAATGTTGGAATTCTCTGTGCGGAATGTGCCGTATCCAGGTGCAAGAATGTTGCAAGTATCGGGTAACTAAACAGTTTTTCAAATTCTTTGTTCTTCCTTTACACAATCGGAGTAATGTTACACATTATGTTTAAGTAGAGTAAGCTATCTTTGCTTCATATGTTACGGTACTAGGCCCTCCTTAGTCTTTCGATTCTAGTATCAGCAAATGTCGTACAATTTTAAGAATGGGTCTTTATTAAACAATAGTAATTTTAGCTGCGAATGACCAAGATCCGTTGCTAATCACAAAGTCACTGCATGAACGAGATATTCAATTTTGTGAAATTGGGAATCATCGCTTTGTGATTTCAACATACTTGCGTATTATTTTGTAGTATCTCGCATCACGGATTTCGAAAAATTAGGGAAATAGTCGTACTTATAGCTTGCCGAATCTGATATATCTATATTTAAATGAAACTTGTGGCTATCACATTGTTTTGGAACCAAAGAGACCTGAGCCACATCTATTTAATACTTTGTAAAAACATACTGAATATGCGAACGATATTGATGTATTATTTACTCCAATACAAAAAGCTGGAGTCAGGAGATATATTAGAAGGATAATAATTAAAACATTAATGCACTTAACCCTTGCTGGGATAAAGGAAACCGCAAAGTCATCAGGGTTGAAAGCTATGTGGCTGATGGAAAATGAGTTTTTTGTGAAACAGGTATTCAACCAACGATTGACGGATCGCGTCCGGTCAACGGGAGAGTTCTAAACGTAACTGTGCGGTGCATCGACTGCGCAGTGCCCCGCTATGAACCGCTGCAGCTCGATAAATACTATAAAGTTGTTTCGCAAAGCTTCATTGGCAACGGCGGCGATGGATTTTCAGTGAGTCCGATGGAATAATGTTGTTCTATTGAAATTCTAATTGAATGAGCTGCAGACAGATATACGCGTATGGACCTGCAAATGTTTCGATGTAGGCAGTTATTTCATTAGATATTTACAATTAATTTAAGCGGGCCTTATTTAATGAGAGCCGATGTTTCGTTTGAATCTCTACAGACAATCAATGTCATTACGAATTGCCAACGTCGCAATGCTATTGTAGAAGTGAAAATATTTAATAATAAATTAGTAAGCCGCCATTGCCACTGACGTTTGTGGTGTCTGTCTAGTCAAATACATTCCAAAATTATCTAATTAATACCTTTAAACGAGCAATTCTTGTATATATATAATTGGAATTTCGGAAACGGCTGCAGCGATTTTCATGAAATTTTGTATGTATGTACGGAGGCGAAAAATCGATTTAGCAAGGTTTCATTTTTAGAAAATGTCCTTTTATCCCTGTTTTCAAGGAATGAATAGTATCGTTCGAATATGACGGTAAATTTCGCCGAAAAAAAAATGTTATAATAGCTCGGTCGGTAATCGGGCGGCCCCGAAACAGAAGGCTGCGGTTCGTGTCACGATTATTTTCACTATGTTTATTATGTGTTATTCATTAATGTGTATATGTATCAAAATGAATATTTATATAAACATAAGTATGTAATCTCTCAATCGTTTTAATCGTTGTTAATAATGGTTGTTGGAGCTTATTTGGCGAGTTCAATGAGCCGTCTATAAAAATGGAATGGGCATATGTTGATACTAATATTCCGCTTATAGCACATATATTAGCGCAGATTCACTTATCTATAATATAAAAAATGCAGCCTTATGATAACATTATAGTCATGGTTTGTCATTATAATATTATATTCGTGTTCAGGGCCAATGATAAGATTTAAATGAACAGACTAATAATATTAAAAATTAAAATATTTTTTTTACAAAAATACAAATAGGGTAATACAGTAAAAATGCTGTAATTATAGTTAAAATCAAGTAAAATAGGTCATAATGAAACATTACACCAATATATAAACACGTTTCATGTCATTCCGTTATTATAAAGAAGTGTTTCCAAAAGCTTAACGGTTGACGTGTCAATTGAAAGACATCAACCTCAGTATAGTGGAAAAGCCAATTTTACATATGCAGCATGAATTCTCAGTATTTATTGGTGTGAGTAGATTATACTGTCGATCCTTGATCACTCGACTTGTCTCTCGATTCTTGACAGACCACTCAACATGTTATTGTTATAATATCTCAGGACCTCCATCAGTGAACTACCTAAACTTCAGTGAATGCATCTTTCCGGTTGAGGCGACCTATTTCAGTTCAATGTGTGAGTGGACTGGTGCTCTTTTCTCATTAACTCTACGTGAGGAATGTCACCAATAGAATCACACACTCATTAGAATAATAAAAAAATATCTTTCTGCCAGTCATCTGCTTCCCGCGATTGACGATATTTGCTGATACCTAATGGTATCAGCGCCTATATTTCCTTGTCTTTAATTTGCAAATAGTAGATATATTTGCAACCGTACGCCAAAATGAATGTCAATAAATCAGAGTTTAATCAAGCATATAATTGGATTAACCATTTAAACGTATTTTATAAGACTACTCTATCATTGTTAACGTCATCAATGATAAGTAGAGGATATTGAAATCCAGAGCAGTGCCAAAAATACTAATAATTCCAGGTATACGGCCGACATTCGACGGCTCGCGACCGGCTGGCTCACGAGTTACAAACGTTACCGTACGCTGCATAGATTGTGATGTACCTAGGTACGAACCGTTGCAGTTTGAAAAATATTACAAAGTTGTTTCGCAGAATTTCATTGGAAATGGCGGTGGAGGTTTCAATGTAAGTGCGGATTCCAATGAAATGAAAAAAATACCGACAAATATCTAACAACTGCAATATATTCCGCAGTATAGTAAACTAGTGTATTCGTGGCAATGGCGGGTATTTACATTTACATAGGAGAGACGAAAAGCTTACAAGCAGTACTCAATTAATGATAAGAAAATCTTTTGTTTCATGTTTAATTAACTCTCGCACAGTTGAAATTATCTATTGCGAAACGCGTAGGCATTGTTTCACATTTACTTTTGGCCTATGTTTGAAGAACCTTGTTTCATTTTAGATGATCGCGGATAACAGACGGAATGTGGAGGCTATCGGTGTTGACTATGATGTTCTCATGCGGTACGTTGAAAAACAGAGCCCGGTTTTCAGCGACGTGGACGGAAGGATACGAATCGAAGACCCGTGTTCGGATTGATATTGTTTCAAATGAAATAATGATATATTTGTAAATGAAAAGTGAACAAATAATTTATTTGTTATTACCATTCGAAATAAATAAAGTTATTGTCCTTAGATTCGTAATCCTCTTTATTGATGTGACTATTTATAAGTGTCACTACTTCTGCTTCCTATGTGTTTTCATTATTCAGCAGATTTTTTTTGTTAAGAACAGTGTATGAGATACAATTCAACTATATGTTTTGTTTGATGACTTGGTTGTCCCATTTACTTAGCGATAAACTTTGCATCTTGTTCCCAATGTGGGAATGCTGAAAATTGGCACCGTGTGGTGGAGACAGTGATGTCACCTCATTTCGTGAGGCTCGAAATAAATATAGCTTGTGTGTATTGTATGTCGGTAATCGATATAGTTATACACGAAAAACAAGCGTTCCGCTATTATGAACAAAAACAGTCATAGTTAGTAATAGCAACAGTAATATTTGGACATTTTTTATTTATTAATAATATTTTAATGGGTTATGTTTTTTATTTTTTTCATAAACTGTCATAATGATGTGCTATAGAAAATCTCTATGCATTTTTTGTTCTTTCACGAGATATAACGATTTTTCATTAGAATTATTAGTAAACTTCGGTGCAGAGAATACCGCATCATTATGCATACGGTATTTAGCGCTTGAAGTGTAGAGCAAGCAAATGTAGCAGTCAGTAAATTTGCGGTGCAGCTCCGGTATAGAACAACACAGAAGGTTTATCCGATATTTCCAACGAAACAAGTTTCAATTCTGGCTGAAACTTTGCTTTAAAACTACTCTATTAGTTTCTTTAAAGTCGAACGATTGACCCATATTCACTAAAGGCTCATATATTTTACTAAGAAGATTTTAAAATTCAGCACATCTTGATAAGGCCGTTAAATAGATTAATGAAAAGAATATATTATAGTTCAATCAGCCTTTGAATTGAGTTTATTGTAAATATCTGACTTGTCACTGTTTGAGCATCGCTGATGACGCTTATACTGAGGACTATTAAGTGAAGTTTTTGAAATTATATCTTGAATTTATTTTTTTATTTGTAGACAAAGCTATCGCAAAAAAATATTTTCAAAGGCGACATCATCTCGACATCTAGTTTTCACACTTTAATTTTAAAAATGACATTTGCGAAAGAGTATTTGCTGCAAAGGGAGTATTATGTTAGGTAAGGCATTATTAAAAATGCAATAAGTAGATTAAACAGAGATTTTCACGTGGTGAAGATTTCGACCTCTTAGCTTATGAAACGCAGGCTCAAATTCTGACAGCGGTGTAAAAAAATGTATTGCAATAGTTTCATCTACACATATTTCAAGTGATAAACTTTTAATACCTAAATTATAATAAATATCAAATTTTTCTTATTATCATACAGAGAAACCCATGTTGCGGTATGAGTTTTACTTGTGATGTGAACAATGTTGCGCGGGTTTATTTTATCAGACATTTCGTATAAAAATTCTTAGGATTTATTGTTATGGCTGACATGATATAAAATACAACGTGTCGTTTCCTTGTAAACTCGTGTCCAGTCTTATTTGTCGTGGAGATTGGATCATAGATTTTATTGTAAGAAAACCGAACGTGTTTTCTCAGAGCTCAATATTTTCGACATGAAGTCTTTAAACAGGTACAAACACATGTTTTAATATATTTAAAAACTAATTAGGAACAGTACGTAATGTAACCTCATTTATTATTCGGTAGTATTCCAGATAGACTAACAAAATCAATTTTCAAACCGGTACTTTTGGAAACATAATTAACTAATTTCTGTAATATATTACGGTAAACCAGCAAACATTAGGTTGTGTATTAACATTTTTCTTCATCCACAGAAATTAATTCGTAATGGCGACGAGCGTGCAAACAACAAATGTTGGAACAAACAAATGTACGTAATGTAGTTCTACTCTGACTGAATCTGAATTTTGTACTTCCACATCGCTAGTACTACATTTAAAATCAAATAAGATTGAGAGAATCTCACATTAATCGATCGTGTTTACTATGGGATATTGATGAAGCATGCCCGCAGCTCTATCATCAGTTAAGCGTGTGCCAGCTACCTTACACAGCTCCTCCTTGAGGAGTTAAAACTTTATCTATCCATACATCATAAGGTCAGTGAACTATCCTGAGGTCGAAGCTCAACTGGAGACAGGAGAGCTAAAAGAAACAACCACACTCAAATATCCGTGAAGTGTCCGGTGAACCGAAATATTTGCACCTACCTTTATAGTAGAGCATATCGCCTTCTCGCGTCCGTTACCTTAGTAAACTTCTTCGTAGAGTCGTTTAAATCATAAATGCATAAATTCTGAGCTTAATGCAAGTTAATCTAACGGGGCGTCCTTTCTGCTATCACTTCACTTCCAGCGAACAGCTTGTACCATGGCTACCATTTTAACCGACTTCAAAAAAGGATGAATTCACTAATACTTTTTTATGTTTGTTATCTAAGAATTAGCAGATAGACAGACAGACAGACAGACAGATAGACAGCAGAGTCTTAATAATAGGGCCCCGTTTTACCCTTCGGGTACGGTACCCTAAAAAGATACTAAGATTTGAGCTCTTTGGTTAAATAAGGCACAATATTTATTTGATACTTCGGCGTTCGCTTTATGAAATTGTTTTGGCTCACATACTGCCATTTTCCAACAAAGGTGTCTAATAACATTGGAGCACTGTCAAAATACCTCACTATGATTTTTCGAAGCGTTATAATATTAAATAAAAACCTATATTGTGGCATCGAATCAAAAGAGATTTTGATTTCAACTGTCTTTAAAAGATATTCGAAACGTTTGGATTTTTATCAGTGAATGGATTGATTGAAAAATGATGTTATTAATGACTATATAAAATATAGTTCCTTGTAATATGTTTATTTTGATAAATCTGTAAACTAAAATCTTATTATAAGCTTAAAAGAAGACCAAGAAACATTAAAAGTTATTCGACTTTGTAGCTAACTTCATATCAACTTAATATTGATTAACTTCCGCTTGTCATATGCCATCTCATACTTGTCAAGTTCCTCCTGCTATTTTAGTAACAACTAGAGTATATACTGTCGTGATCGGCGTGGAAAAAATATTTCGTGAAATAAATATGCAATGCGAGTTTCTCAAAAAAGCGTTATCGTCCATTTAACCCTTATTTCACGGCATTACACACTAACGGTACTCCTAGCTTTCAGTTTCGCTCCGTCGAAATAGCTGCTTCATTCATTGATAATTTTAATAGAGTTCTCCGTAGCCGCTTAGCACTATTTACTTTATAGGCTATCATTTTCAAATGCATTACACGTTAATTCATTTTAGAAATTCGTAGTTCCATGGACGATAGAAACATAGTTGAAATTCTCAACAACAAAGCCATAATAGGCAGAATAGAGTGTTGTCGAAAATAACTGAATCGTTTCAATTCTATAATTATTGAATACATTATTACATAATTAAATTGATGAACGAACGATTTTGTTTAAGGATTTCGTAACTACATTTGGCGTTACAAAAAAAACTATTTATAATCTTAAATTTTCTATACAATTTGCGTCGATATGTTTGTGTAAAATTATTTTGGGTTTTTTTTCAAATTTAACAATTGAATAGACTGTAAACAACATGCATTGAATGATTCAATGGAAAATTAGCAAACAGTAATTTTAATAGCAGAAGAGATGTACTTCTGCTATTAAGAGTTTACAGTACGTCGAGTTTTGTCCCCGCTTTTAATGAGCATAGGGACTACAGCTATAAAACTACATGACAAGAGGCTGTCAGTAGCAGCAAGTTTCACAATAACGGTGCATAAAGGGACAGGTTTAATTTATTATTAAAATTGAATTTACGCATCGTCATATACATTTAGGAGGTTATATCGATGGTTCATTAATGGTGTAATTTAATTTAGTGTTTTCCACATTGAAGCATTAAAAATTGAACCACTGTTTTTAATGACCTTAATATTTAAATTAAAAGTAACAGCCTATACATGTCCCACTGCTGGGCAAAAGGCCTCCTTTATGCAGAGTGTATCAGGCCGAAGTCCACCAGATTGGCGGATCTCAAATATCTTCAAAATATTTTTTTTTATATTTCGAAAACATGTAGGTTTTCTCAAGATGTTTCCCATCACTGCAGAGCACGTGATAATTCAACACTTCAAATCAACAATTTTATTGGTGCCCGCACCGGGGATCGAATTCAGGCCTCAGCATATTAAATTAAAGGCGAGCGCCCAGACAGGGCTATCACGGCTCTAAAATTTACATTACATACCATTAAATAGCTAATGAGGTACTCTTATGACAGGACCATCCATTTAATTTCAAGTCTTGTCTATTTTCCTTGTTTCACACCTTAATTTTGAGAGGAGACTTGATTTATACCCACTAAGCATCATATGTTGCGGTTAGTTTGCAATTTCGGGTGCCGTTGCGATACTTTAAATTGGCTTCTTGCCAGAGCGTAGTTAGAAATTCAAGTTATTGATATATTGGTAATACGTCGCAAAGTTTCTTGTTAATTATTTGACTTAAAACTATTTTCAGGGTTCCTTACCCAAAGGGTAAAACTGGACTCTGTTACTAAGATTCCGCTGCCTGTCTGTCCGTCTGTTACCAGGCTGTATCTTTTGAGCCGTGAAAGTTAGACAGTTAAAATTTTCGAAGATGATGTACCTCTGTTGCCGCTATAACAAGATTAAAATAATAATTCAGTGGGGCTCCCATACAATAGATATGATTTTTTTACCATTTGTATAGATGATGGCACCGAACCATTCGTCCGCGAGTCCGACTAGCAATTGGCCGGTTTTATTTACCAGCTAAGCTTAAAGATGCAAGTAGTATTTTTGGTTCAAAAATATTAAACATGAGCATATAGGACACGTGCACTTGATAGGTTATAGCGCAGATTAGATTATCGGTTGTTATGAATGAAATGTTCTACGTAAATTT